TAGACTAGACTAGAACTGAAGTAAAAGAGAGAATGAGAGCTTCTTTTATAGGGTGCTTCAGAGATATCAGGATATAATGGCGTGATCATGGCGAGGTAATTCCAGGAAATAGCAGAAGTCAAACCGGAATGTGCGCAGCCAGTCAGCAGAAATGCAGAATATACGTACGGTGATCATTCGAGAAGAAAGAGAAAGAAAGACATCGAGAGAAGAAAGACCAAATTGGGACGTGGGGAGCCCGCTCACCCACGTCAGAGTACAATGTGAGTATATGAGGGTCACGTTGGGGAGCCCGCTCACCCAACGTGCCATAGTTCAGCGGCTTCTTATGGTAAGTTCTGCTGCATTCTTGGTCTTGCTTGCGTGATACTCTGACCTCTTGCGCGGTGACGGCTTTGGTTCTTGCACACGTCTCCTGCCTTGCACCTAGCTCTTGATATACAATGTCATTAGTCTTGGCTCTTTGCACGAAGCACCGAGGCATCATGGAAACCTGTAGAACGTCGTAGTGACGTGGTTTTGCACAAAGCCTGGGGTCACATTTCCAGGAAGTGAAGAACTTCCAGGAAACGTACAACGCGAGAACCTACCTGACCAGGTTCCGGCCTTGGATCCCATAACGTGTCATGCCAAGAAGGCATGTCACCTACGTGGGAAAGCGCGTGTCGCTCAACCTACATGCTAAGCACGTGGGACAAGACACTTGCCAAACCATGTTGTACTAAAAGGGCGTGACAGCTCAGCACAGAGCTGCTCACTATGTAGATCCTGCTATCACAGGACTATCAGGCAGCAGTTGTCTTATTCTGGGACGTGACACAAGTAATTTACGACTGCTTCCGGTATGATTCTCAGTCAGACACAGATTATGCTATGCACATGCTATATACACACTGTCAACTCTAGTCAGAATTCAGGGCGGCTGTTCAGTTCCTCACTCCGCATCCTGGAGAATGTTGGTCATCCTCATCTTCCGTGGGTGCTTGAGGGCGAACATGTCGACGATGTCAGTGACATCAACAGCTCCTGAGGTAGGTCTTAAGGAGACGCAGGGCCGACACGCTTCGCTCACACTCGCAAGACGTGATCGGCATCACAGCTAGAATGGCTAGTGTGGCAAAGATGTGCTGTGTCCGACATCTCCGCTCAGCATGCACGGAAACGGAGTCGGAACAAGCAGTGAGAATTTGAAAGAAGCTAACACGACAACTGAAACATGCAACGTCAAAAGTAAAGAGCTTCGAAGTGAGTTTGTTGCCGGTGAAAAAGTAACAGTTAGTTCCAAAAAAGTTCTATTCCAAATGTGCAGCCCTGGCGCGGTGACGTGCACAACGAGCAGTTGAGCACGTGTCCAGAACGATCACGTGATTGCACACAAATCATCCGCGGATCCGTGCAGCGAGCCTGGGCCTGGCCTGACCTTTTTTTTTGGAAAAATCCTGACGGGTTCATTTGCACCCTTCGCACCCCCCTGGATCCGCCCCTGGCCCTCACAAGCGCTGCCTGCATGCCGCTATGCTTGCCGTGTTCTTTGGTTTCTTCAAATGCGGTGAACTGCTAGAAGCACCTACCACGCGCGGCTGTTTGACATTCGAGTCAGGGATGCTCCATGTGCACCTACCACGCTCGAAGACAGACCCGTCCGGGGAAGGTACGACGGTGCTGATCGGGCCAGCGGTGCCGCCATACTGCGCTGTGAGAGTCATGCTCACCTACCTCACTGCAACCGCCTCTGCTCGTCCAGGCAGTGCTGTGTTCATCCTGGCCAACGGGCAACGCCTCAACCGCAGCACTTTTACAGCCCACGTACACACGCTGCTTAGCACCAGCGGCGTGGCAAACTGGCAGGACTATGCAGGCCACAGCTTCCGTATCGGGGCCGCTACCACTGCTGCCCTTGCTGGCGTCCCCGACCACCAGATCCGCTCCGCGGGGCGGTGGCGCAGTGATGCATGCCTACGCTACATCCGGACACCACCGTCATCGGCCCGAACGCTGGCCAGCAAACTATCCTCAGTAAGATCATCTCCCTGACACCGATGTTTCTCGATTCACACAATTCCCTCATAATGAACTATGCTATGCTGCACTGCAATACTGTTGTGTATGGGTATGTACTGGCGGTATGGCGAGTCACTCATAACTGGTCTGCCTTTCTAGTGCGGCATTATGGCCTTATGGTCCTGCCTTTCCATTGCGGCAATCACAGCCTCCGGGCTTCTGCCTTCCTGCAGCAATCACAGCCTCCGGGCTTCTGCCTTTCTGCGGCACTCGTAGCCTCACGGGCTCGTGCCTACCTTGCGGCAAAGACCAACCAGTTCCTCGTCACCAGTACTTACCCAACACAACCTAGCCTTATTCGTGTGGTGTATGCCTGTCTGCATGCCGTCTGTGTGCGCGGAATGCTAATGATGTATGCCTGCCTGCATGCCGTCTGCGTGCGCGGAATGCTAATGCTGACTAGCAGGTGATATAACAGGTGCTCACACTCTTCCCAGACTCTGCATATTGTTTCACTGTGCAGGCACGCACACATACTAGCATGCACGCGTGCATGCAGACATGCATCTGCATATGCTCACCCTCATGAGCGCGGCTGCACCCTTTGTTTCAAGTATGTCCTTGATGGCGGAAAGTTTTCCCCGCCATTCCTCGCATATCTTCTGGGTTCTTCCGGGTGCATTGCATCATATTCTTCATTATATCAGTAAAGCTGAACTCGGATGGTGAGCCAATATAATTATGATGAAGAAAGGAAAAGACAAAATGTTACGAGTTATGACAAACTGTCCACCAACGTAACCAGATCTTATACCGTCAGCGAGTGCGACAACTTTCGGCATTCTTTGTTGCCGTGGCGCGTAGCTCATGCTCTTCTTCGTTGCGTTCTCCTCCCCCTCTTGGACCATTCTGAACCTGAGCCTTCCAAGTTGGAAGGTTGTTGGTTTGCGCCTTGGAGAAGTGTTGGAGCTAGGTGTCAGGTCGCCGAATGTCTCAGTACTCCTTGTCAGTTTTGTGCCAGTTTGTCGCACTCGCTGACGGTATAAGATCCGGTTACGTTGGTGGACAGTTTGTCATAACTCGTAACAATTTGTCTTTTTCCTTTCTTCATCATAATTATATCAGTAGCACAAAGTTTCCCAGCAGGTACTGGGACTGCAATTTTGCGCTCCCTGGTACACTGAATCTGAAATTTAGATCTCGGGGATTCCAGACTTTTACCACAGCATGTGTTTATGTGATACTGTGTGACGTCAAACATACATGGACATGATCCATACAGTTCTCTATTGTAAGCCCTGCGCTTATATTGGAGCGGCTGCGTTTGTATACGTCAGGCGAAATAGCACGTCATAGCCCCAAGAGTTCAAGTCCCTCGCCTGCCATAGATCATTCAAGAGACTTTTAAAGGTTTATTTTTATGGTTAGCCAGCATCTAGGCTTGGACTTGGAGTCGTGACTCAACTGTGACTCAACTGTGCTTTCTTCTTCTTTATTTTTCTTTTTTTCCCTTTCTCTTTTTTCTTTTTGAGTATTTGCAGTCTGTGTTTTCTGTGTTTTTCTCTCTTTCGTGGAGGCTTGCTTGTTGTATCCTTGGCTCTCGGCCGTTACTTTATCGCCATCATAATATAGGGCACCATTGCCCGTTTGGTCTGCGATACAAAATAAAATTTCAACAACATAGTACATTTGAGACCAGCGGGAAGAAGATGACGACGTCCACTAATTTAGTATCTGTGCACACGAATATGCTGTGTGTGTGACTTTGTGTGTCAGCTATGACGTCAAACCCTTTGGTTCCATGCCTAACATATTGGTCAGAACCATCCTGCAAAGTTTGAATGATGTAGGTTGAACGATCGCGCCGCCAACCATACATTTTGAAATTATCTTCGTAGTATACCTTCCACCATTGAAATTTCTTCGAATTTTTTGCTGAGAGGGGTAGCTTGCAACCTCGATATGGCTTGTTCCAGGCATGCTGTGAAGCGAAACCCTGTTGAAGTAGTGGCGGGGATCTGCCCTGCAACTGCTACAACAAAACATGATTCGATCTGAGAAAGCGTGAGACCGCGAATCTCGGTTGAATATTGAGTACAGTAAAACGTGTAACTAAGGACCACCGTGACTAGCGACCAGCCTGGTACTACAGACCACTTCACCAGGCACGGACGGTCTCACATTCGTATTATGGTTGCGCAGTGCAAGCCCCTAAGGACCACCTGCCACTAAAGACCGCTTTTTCTGGCCCCAAGGGTTGGTCGTTAATCACAGGTTTAACTGTATTTCAATCCTTTTCACGACGAAGATGGAGTTCTTTTTGGAGATGGACGTCGCGACAAAAGACATGGTTTCCGACTTCTGGCGTCTGGTGAAGCCAGGGAGCATTAATTTGTGTCCAGTCAGGTCGGCAGCCTAGCCATCGGTGAGCTTGTGTTTGGATCCCGTTCTGCTCGATGTGGTGGATCACAGACAATTCGATATCGCACAAATTGATCTCTGCATCGTGCGTACGGTATTTTATATTCAGAAAATCACAAAGTGTCTCTGTGTGGCCGTCCAATGCCACGAGAAACCCCAATCAGGCTCCTATGTCCTCTGCCTTCTTGATTGAATGTCCACTTTGTTTCAACAACGAACACAACAATCGATGACGGCTTTGCAATGAAAAATACAGCTATACCGGAGCTGAAAAAGGAAGAACAAACGTGCTCAGGATGAGACTCGAGTACACGCGTACTCTCCCAGCAGGTTCTGTGGATGTCGCTCATAGATGCGTAATTTCGCGTGACGTCTTCGAAGCCCTCTTGGAGTGCGCTTATAATAGAGACTGGGCTTCTACAAGAGACTGAGCTTGCAATAGAGATGACACGGTATGTATGTACAGTGTATGAATGTGTGTACATGTATGTATGTGAGAATGTATCTACAGTGAAAGTGTGTATGTATGTACAGTGCACAGTGTATGAATGTGAGTATACCATACTGATAACACTTACGTTGGCATGTAGGCTTGGCTTGAGACCATTGTCCAGTTCCTATACATGTCACTGTGAGTGTACCTTGTGGCATCTCATAACCTCTGTTACAAGTGTATCTTACAGTCTTTCCAAACTCAAATCCTCTGTGTGCATATCGACCATTAGTAGGTTGACCAGGATCTTCACAAATTATCCCTGTTAGAACAACAACACAATTCCATATAGTTTTTATGAGAAGCTTTATCAGACATGGTCATCAGCGCATGGGTGATACTGACTCCCGCTACTGTCTGGAGTTTGTGTTCTCTCGCACACCTCACATTTGAAACTGCCAAAACCACAGTGCAGGGTCGGCTGCGGACAGCCACATTGCCTTGTTTCAAGGGAAAACAGGGTTGCCAGAATGGAGGCAAATGATACAGCAACTGCAGAGTAACCACCCAGATAAATACAGCAAAGAAACCACCGCATTCAGAGCAAAGTAAATACATGGGGCGGGTGGGCGGGTGGGCCCTTGACAAGCAAGACAAAAAGAAGGACAATCTTCTTGCGCAAGCACTGTTCCACAGCGCTCGCTCCACAATGATGTGACGTAAGTTAGTTAACTAGTACCTGAAAGGTCTAGCTAGATTTCGAGTGGATTTCGAAAGCAACGGGTGGGTGATTCAGATTGATACAGCGCCGCATCAAAATAAATTATCTTGTCACACTGCGCAGGCAAGAGCAGCGCGACGCACAAGAAAGTAATCGGCTACTCGGAATCAGTTCCATTTTGCAAAACGGCCGAGATCGCTCACCTGCGGGATCGCTCGCAAAGCTGAGATCGCAGTTCCCTAACCTCCAGCTCAACGCGTATCCAGCGTATCATGGAGATTTGCAAGTACGGTACGCGTCATCGTCGTTCAAAATAAATCTTGCAAAGAGCGGCGACTGATTTGAACCACACAGGCAGTAGTGCTGCCCACCCGAACTTCCTATAGAGAAGGCGATCATAGCGATCGACTTCCCTTTAGCCCCATCCCTTACACAAAAATGTCAACAAAGAGGCATCTTTGGATTGAGGAGTGCTGGTTTCGAAACAACTGGTTTGAAGCTCAAAGTAGAGCTGCTGTTAGCTCAGAGTAGAGCTGCTGTTAGCTCAGGGCAGAGCAGTTGTTAGCTCAAAGTAGAGCTGCGGTTAGCTCAAAGTAGAGCTGCTGTTAGCTCAAAGTAGAGCTGGGGTTAGCTAAAAGTAGAGCTGCTGGTAGCTCAAAGTAGAGCTGCGATTAGCTCAAAGTAGAGCTGCTGTTAGCTCAAAGTAGAGCTGCGGTTAGCTCAATATCGAGCTGCTGTTAGCTCAAAGTAGAGCTGCTGTTAGCTCAACGTAGAGCTGCAATGTTAAATGGATGTAATATAGCGCAAGGCAGAGCCGCAGCAAATAGCTAGATAACACCAGTTGTGAGAGTGGACCCGATTAGTGGGTACGATAATTATAATGATGGTGTGAATAAGTTGGATAGGGAGGGATGGTGGGAAAGGAAACACTGCTGAAGCACGATGCGTTGTCTGGAAGAGCACAACAGGGCAAGCAAGATTTGTTTTTCTTTTCAGCAAAACGGGCTGGTGCCAGGCAGCGGCGAGGAAGAGAGATGCGCCTGCGAAAGCGAGACTGTCCATCCTGAGCAAAAAGATACTTGTCACCAGCACCGAGAGCAGCGACGAAGAATACCAAAAAAAGTATGAACCCTTCCTTCGACAACAAACTCCTCATGGTCAGTTATCATTCTATACCATACCTTCCATCATACCAAGTTTTATCGTCTCAAGTGCTCGCGTTGATGTCCAAAGTCTAAGTTCAATTTGTCGAAAGATAAGCGACAATATTGCTGACGCGGACCAAGAATATACAATAATTCTGATCACATGTCCGCTGTTCACACGACCACCTGCCCAATGGCACTTGAGACTCTTAGGAGGTTAGGCTTGGACTCCGTGAAATATGACTTCAAACCGAACTCACTCCTCCATCCTCCGTGGCGTTGAATTAGACAGTCTGGGATACCTGCACCAGCCGCCACGGAGACACCCCCGGAACGGAGGCTATGTACACCATACTTGTCAGGATCCTCTCCAACTGCCACCAATGCTGCCTATACTAAATCCCTCGCTCTGGAGTATGACATTTGGGACCGAATAACCTTCCTCCTATGGTGGGTTCGGACTCTGCCAAACAATGTCGAGTTTGGTGAGTGATCACCACTGGCGAGAAACTGTTCAACTAGTTGTACTGGTTAGAGGTCTTGTTCCCAACGGCTGATGAACACCCAGTTACCTTCCCGGAACTGGTCGTTCTTTCTGCATTCTAGGAAAACTGCCATACAGTATCGATGAATGGACAGGGCATCTACTCGGACATGAGAAAGATCGTCCCTGCGAAGGAACCCAGCAAACCCTAATGTAGTGAGTGCAGTGCTGCCAAAAAATCCGATTTTTCGCACAGTGTCCGATTTTTTGAAGGCTCTTCCGAAAGCCGGTCCGAAAAGGATACGTCCGAAAAGCAGCCAGAATTGTCAGGGATCAGTACTTTCCTATGCAGAAGTCCTGTATTTTCACTTTTGAGCACAACTGAAGGCACAAATCATAGTACATGTGCTTCTAAAAAGGCTAGCGCTGGCCTGGGGAAGTGCAAAGTAGTAACACTACTAGTACATGTACGAGAATGCTGGCAATAGGGAGGTTTAGTCCCATGTAATCTGTGGGTACTTTACGTGTGTGTACCACGTGATACTCAGTGACCCACGTACACACATTTTCTTATTCACGACATACCGTTTATGGAGGCTCACCCACGTTCTGCCAGAACGAGGGTGAAAATCAGAATGGAGCGCATTGTGCGAGCTGTGAGGGTGCTCAGCTGAAGAAGTTTCCGAAGCACGAAATCAAAATATTCGATGAGCTTCTTAGGCCCGGGTAGCTTCCTCTTTGACCAGGTTTGGGCCTTTCGCTTCATGCTTTTGTTTGTTCCGTGTGACTAAACACAACATTGCAACGTGTTTGCCCTTCATCTACTTTACGTGTATCACCCACGTACGCGTTTCCGTTACGTGGGAACTAAACCAACCTCCCTAGTGAATACAGTACACTCATGTATTACAAAATTCATGACAACGGGGCGCCATATCGGGTACCATGGCAACAAAGTGAATTTTCTTCGTATTTTGGGTGATATTTTGAATTTTCTGGAGAAGAATTTGCGCCATGTGGCCAGCCATCGTGGTAAAGGGTGTCAGATTTTTGGGCGAGAATTATTTGGCAGCACTGTGAGTGTCAGGGTTTTGGAGATCCTGCAATTTTCCAGTAGACAGTGAGACCTTCAGCTTCTTGAGCAGTTTCGGTGTTAGCGGGATTTCCTCCTGCGCTGAGCGGCGAGAAATCTCTTTGCTGCTTGATGTACCCTTTGCACAACGGGTACTCGGCACGGATCAGGATGACTATTGGTGTTATGTTTTCAACTGATTCCATGGACCGCTGCAGAGACTGGCGCTGGTGTACTGGAAGTGGCAATCTTCTTGACTAGGCACAATGGGACCTGCGGCGGATCTGCCGGGAGAGCTAAAATACGTTGACCTTTCACACACCTCTGCCACTGCGTGAAACTTGTCTTGTACTTCTTGACGGTTGACTTGGCTCTGGACCCTTCTAACACAGTTGGTAGCTGTTGAGCCAACAGCGACATCTCCGATGACAGGTGCATTGGCCACTGGAGGTGTTGCAGGCAATCTGCGGGTGATGTGTCATAGCGAGACATACAATCTCAGGGCGAGAATTCAAATACAGCCCAATCTTTGACAATGAGTTGGTTTACATCATATCGACATCTCACTGCTGCTGTTGTTGCCGCAATCATCGTCTTCTCAGAATCATCATCCTCGCCGTCAGCACTACCATCATCATTCATTTCATGTGCCCTGCAGGAATTATTATCTCTTAAAGGGATCGCTAGCTACAAGCGAGGGTCCCTGGTTCGAATTCTGATGGTGACAGTCAATTTTTTCTTCAGACTTTTCCCGTTTGTCTCTTTCCCTCAAACTAGTGAAGATCTTAAAGGGATGTTAATGCATTTTTTGACAAATGACCACCAAGAAGTGCCCCGGAATAACAATGGCCACCATGCAGCAGAATCCCACATTGGTACGATCAGAGTGGCTTGACACTCATAGAACTCCACCATTGTGATAACTTTGACAATCAGGTACAAAAGTGGGATAAGCCAAACATTCTCGCCCTCCCATGGAAAAGTGAATGCATCTACCGCAACACAGCCTGGATTCCACCATCGTGAACAATACCGATCAGTTTTCCTTGTGCTCACACTAGCAAAACAGTCTAGGGTATGTGGGCCCCACACTTCATCCAACCACTCAAAAACAACAGGATTAACACTCCAAACATCGGCGTGGACAATTTTCGAAAAATAGTACGCAAGTTCGTTTTCTTCATGAGGTACCCATTCTGCCACTGGCTGAATACCATACTGCTGGCAAATCCTATAGATTGACAACACTATTTCCTGCAAATGGGCATGCCTACTTCCATTCATCAGAGTATAAACTGCTGAACGTTAACTTGCAGAACGTTTTTTTCACTCGTAACCCCCCCCCCCCACACACACACACACGCACACGCTAACCAATTGATTTAAATCATGTCTCTGGTGCGTAGGGGTAATGCTACAGTCATTGAGAATATGTGCTCAACTGTTTCACGGAAGACCTATCTAGGTTGCTTTATGGCTCTACTCAGAGTCATCTGGCAGCTCCATGTGGTGGTATCATGAGGTTGACATTGAGACACGATGATCTAGTGATTCCAAGTGGAGTCACTTACGTTGACACTCGGGTTTAGGCTGAGACCATGTCTTGGTTGCCATACACGTTGCTGTCAGAGTACCAGTTGGATGACCCACCATGAAATATCCTGTATTACATTCATAAGTTACTGTATCCTGGTATCTCACACCTGAAGATCTGGATTTACCATTGGCAAGTGAATCGAGTTGTAGACAGCTAATACCTGTTAAACATTCAACACAATTATTTTTTAATACACCACCCAACTTGGGTGGGTCAGCAATATTAAAGATAAAGCAAGGGGGAGGGAAGCTTTGTGAAAACGAATTGTACAAAACCGAACGCCAGTATCTAACGGTACTCCTCATGCATGACACTATTGTGGATGAGTTGACTACACTAACAAAGTGTAGTTCCACACGACGTACGTTTTGCCGTGTTGTTAGTGACGGCTCATAAGGTGTGTAAAATTTAAACTCGGATACTGAGTCAATAATAAATGTAAAAAATGTCTCAGTAGCCTGTCAGTTTTGTGCCATATTATCATAGCCAGCAACCACATGTCATCACGTACATTCAAAATCAACATAATTCAGTATCACCTTTCAACGAGGACGAAGAAAAGTCGGCCGAACGAAGCCTAGAGGAAGAAAATAACCCTCTCCACTTCACCATCACGATACTGACATAGGTACGATACGAAACAACTACAAAATCCACAAGAAAACTGTATGGCCATCTTCGCGCTGACTTTGGTCTGAGAAATTTTCTATCACGATCAAAATTGTACGAGGAGCACTCAAAAATAAGCCACAGACGTACCTTTATCGCTCTCTACTCCTTTTTCAAGGCACAAAAGTCGACTCTCCACTTTCAAACCAGGAACCAGACATACCAGTGGTCCTTTTCAGCTGCTCCACGAGCGCAGGTGATGTTCACCAAGGCACGCAGAGCAGCATTCATTCCAGAAAAAGAGCTAAAATACGAGTGAGACTGCATGCCTGAGTACATGAGTACATGCAGAAAATAGTCAACTTCAGCTTTTCTCACGCGGCTCCAAACAGCAACTAGCTTCGACTAGCTACAAAGATTACACCAAAGGATCAAACAACAACCATTTTCTTCAGTACTTTTGGCAGATGGCTTCCTTGTGCTTGGCCCAGCATGCCAAAAATTACCCCTCGGAGGAGTACAAAAATTACAACTCTCAGATGTCCTCGATCGCTGCCCATGTGCATGTGCATTTTCTGACTGTTTAAAGGGGCACTCCGGCTTCATTTTCTACGCCGAGTTTTCGATGCCAAGACGAAGGTAGGTGAAAGAGAAGACACCTCGAACAAGAACGAGTCTCCAGAAGCGATCGAGTCGAGCAGGAAGACGACTTTTGAATTTCGGCCGAGCGAGCGCTGATGACGTAATGAGGGATTAGCTTGCCAGTGGAAATGCATCTGCGCACATACGTTTCACACACTTTTTGGCCAATTTTCAATCGAAGAAGAGGTTGTTTGCTATGTTCTCCCAACGCCGTGAGCGATCCCGTCTTCTATACCCTTCCAGGTACCCTGAAGGTCCTCCAGAGGAGAATTTATCTCCAGCAAAGCGTTGTTGATCCGCTAAATTCGTCTCGAGACATATTCACCCAGTGCAGTGCTGATAAATGTAGAATGTTGAATCTGTGATAATTGTCGACGATGGAGAGAGAGGCCGATAGCCGCTGTCGCAGGGAGAGTGAAGCTGCTGGAAGTAACAACAGGGAGCCCGTTTGTATCACCTGAACAACCAGACTTCAAAGCAGCTTGACCAAATCGGAGGGTGCCTCGTTGCTTATCGTGAATATTACACCGGCATGAATTACTACAAGTATACTGGTGAGTTTTTATCTTGTTTTTGTTCGTATGCTAGTACCCTGGCCTGGAGTTCTCGTTAGCAAATTCCTATTCCCTGGCGTTTTCTAAACATTCCGTGTAGGACTGAATACGTGATCAAGTATTCCGATTTGGGTAAATGTGGAATTTGGACATGTATTTTATTAAAAAAATTCTTTTCCAAATAGAGCGTTTGTAGAGAAATGGTTGCCCAAATACAACAAAATTTATTCTGCAGTTCTACAACTAACTTGTACTGAAATCCAGTCGAAGTAAAAATGATTCTTCATGACAGTTGGGGTCAATGAAATCTGATCCAGGCATAATGAATGGTGACGCCTGCCACCCCGGGAACGAATGCCCATTTGCTGGGGGATACCAAAGTACTCGAAAGTAGTGCGTGTTTCAATGTGGCATGGAAGTTTTATATGATCTCTGGTCAATGCAACATACCATAGCCATCATGAATTGCAGGCCTCGAACGCAACTCCGACCAGAATTGGCAGTTTCCTAAGGTAGATGCTTTATAATTCCATGGCCCCAGCTGTAGTTATAGAGGGTTTTTTGCACATTATTCTTATAGTCGATAGGTTTATACTGATGGCCACAAACAACGGCAGTTCAAACTTCACTGATGTGTTCATGAGCTGAGAGATTTTGGATTGGATTGGTTTATTTAACGTCGAATAACAAACAGGCAGTGTTGCCTTATTACATGAGATCGACTAAAGACAAACAGGCACACAAATGTAAGGAAAAGATTAAAAAGAAAAAAAAGAAAATAGAAAAAAAAAGTAGGATTTAAGACAGCTGCTAGCTAGCAGAGGAAAGATTGCATAATTATTTGATCAGTGAGCAACGTAAGTCGGTGAATTTTTCAGGTGGGGTAAAAGAGCGGTCCGGAATTGACCTGGTTTCTTCAGTGATCGTATAGATGCAGGCAACTTATTCCAGAGAGCGGGACATTGATATGAAGGGCTGCGTGTGGCAGCGGCAGATATGATCCTCGGGAAAAGAAGCAGGGGAACATCTGTGCTCCTCGTTCGACGGGTGTGTGACAGAGGTGTGACAAGGTCATGAAGAAGCACACTACAGATATTATGAATTACACGAAAGGTTAGCAGGAGGAGTTTGCGGCAATACATTGATTGCAGGGGTTGAATGCTGAGGCGTTCAAAAAGAGGGGCAGTTGGAGACAGGAACGGAGCAGAGCAGACAACACGCACAGCTCGCTTGAGAAGTTTCTCAAGACGATCACGTTGTGCAGAGGAAAGGGAAGAGGAAAAGCTGTTGCATGCGTATTGGAATGTGGGTAAAATTATACATCTCAAGTAGGTTGAGCGGCATGGCATTGGGAGGCACTGCCTGTGGCGGAAGGGAATGGCAATCTTTGAGGACACTGTCTTGGCTATATGGTCAACCATTGTGTTCCATTTCAGGTCGTCATCGATGTGCAAGCCCAGGTACTTGGCGCTTGTCACTTGCTGGAGGAGTGAAGCTGCACAGTGCACATTCAATGTCTTGTCGTCATGACGATTGGCAGGAATAAACAATATTTGTGTTTTTCGACTATTCAGGATTAGGTTGCGCTCACCAAGCCAGTTGCTGAGATGGGTGATGGCTGAAGACAGGTTGTGTGACAGCACTACCTTGTCCTTCCTGCTATCGTGTAGCATGATGTCGTCCGCGAATTGGGTTACCTGGACGGCAAACTGATCCACTTCACTGGCCACATCCCTGACATATATGACAAACAATAGTGGTCCCAGTACAGACCCTTGGGGAACCCCACTTGAGCACGTGAAAGATGAGCTACTATCGCCGCTGATGACGACTTGTTGTTGACGATTTGAGAGGTAGTCGCTTAACCAGTTCAGGGCTGTGCCGGAGATTCCAAGCTGGAATAGGTCTTCGACAAGTGTCTGATGCTGGACCTTGTCAAAGGCCTTTGACATGTCCAGGAAAGCAGCGCCAGTTGACAGCCCGTCATCTCGGGCTCTTAGGAATTTGTCTGTAACCATTGTGAGAGCATCCTCTGTAGAGTGCTGGCGTCTGAAGCCAAATTGACAGGACGGGTAAAGATTATGTTCAGCCAGGTATTGACTGAGTTGCTCATGGACGATACGCTCAAGCAGCTTGGAGACTATAGGGAGCAAAGAGACAGGTCTATAGTTGGTGGGTTGACTGGGGTCACCACCTTTGTAGACGGGAGTGATGTTGGCGATTTTCATGTTCGGTGGTTGCTGGCCTTCGGACAATGATTTGTTGAAGATGAGCATCAGTGAGGGTGCAAGAAGGTCAGCGCATGATTTAAGAATCGTTCCGGGCAAGCCATCACTGCCAGTAGCTTTTGTCATGGCTATTGACGATAGGAGCTTACGCACACGGGCAACGGTAACAGGCTTAAAGATTGAAAGGCTGTTCGGAGACATGGGGCCTTGAGGTAGAGTCAAGGCTGGGGGACGTTGAGGATCATTGACAATGCCTGCAAACACATTACCAATGTCATCCGGGGAGCATTTGGGAAGAGTGTGGACTGGCTGCCGTCCGCTCAGCTGATTCAATACACGCCAAGTCTGCCTTGGGTTCCCTGTAGCGTTCACAAATGCTTCATTGTAATGCTGTTCCTTCAGTGCTCGGCTAGTGCGGGTAACCTCCCGTCTGCTCTGCTGGAAGCTGCGGTAGTCCACATCAAGTCTGGTTCTCAGCCACTTACGATGCAGTTTGTTGCGCCTGCGTACAAGCGCTGCGAGCTCCGGGGTATACCATGGTGCGACATTGTGGGCACGGTGCTTCCGAGGCCGGAGTGGTGCATGTTGATCTACGAGTGACATGAGACACTCGTGCCACTGGGTCCACATTTCGGTACAGGTTCCCTTCATGGAGCACAGGTTAGCACACTGGATATCTTGCCGAAACAGGTCCATATTGATACGTCTGATGTTCCGTGTCTGTGCAGGAGCTGCAGGAGGAATTCGAATTGGAACCATGTTGAAAGGGGTTGTCACAGCATGGTGGTCGCTGAAGGAGATAGCATGAGTCGTAGCAGGAGAAGCACATCCCATTGTGCTATATACTAAGTCAATTGTAGTTGGTGGTCCTCTTAGTCCAATACGAGTGGGGCTGCGTACATGCTGCTGCAGTCCATAACTTGTAGCAATATCAGCCAGCCGCATATGATTACTGCAATTGCGACTGGTGTCAACATTAAAGTCTCCACAAAGTATTGTCTGCGTCGTTGGGCTGCAGGCTTTACTCAGCAGGGCTTCAAAGGAGTCATTTCTCTCCACTATTTCTGTTGTGCACACAGGTTTGTCCAATATGCATTGACCGTATTGGGTATGGTACCTGCTCTGAGAAGGGAATCGCTGGAGCCACAGTCCAACTATACAGGCTTTCAAGAAACAGAGAGGAGCCATCTTTGCAAGCTGATACCTGATGTGTACCGACAGAATTCTCACGAGATACCTTACAGACTACGCCTGGTGTATACTTCATAGTACTCCTTCGACTACTGTCTAGAATCAAGTCGACTGAAGCAAGTTCAAACAACTCTGGCTTCAAACGAGCCGTCGATTAGACAAACAAAACATTCTCTCATATACTAGAGCACTCTGACAACTTGAAACTCGGATGTTGAGCCATAAATAAATGTAAAAGAGAAAAGGACATATGGATACGAGTTAAGATTAACTCTCCATCACTGTAACATGATACTATATACAGTCAGAAACTCTTTGGTCTTTCCATAACCTTGAACCTTCCAAGTTGGAAGGCTGTCGGTTAGCGCTACGGAGATGTGTTGAAGTTAGGTGTCAGGACGTAGAATGTCTCAGTACTCTGTCAGTTTTGTGCCTAGTTATTGCACTTTCTGACTGTATATAGTATCATGTTACAGTGATGGAGAGTTACTCTTAACTCGTATCCATATGTCCTTTTCTCTTTTACACTCTGACAACTCACGACCTATTCCTAACGATTGCCACCGCTTATAAATATGTAGAGTACTGATTGGAATGTGCTCACAATCTCAACAATCCAGTGCTATAATTATTTGAACTATGTGTTCCTTCCATAAATGTTGTATCCACATATAATCCACAGTGCTGCAAAGTTTCAGAGTTCTCAGGGTTTCAAACAAAATTATTTCAAATACAGTGAAATAGTTCGTGGACATTATAGCGTAACTTGTAGTTCCCTGGTCCTTTTCTTTGCTATAAATTAATCCTTTGCTCTCTAGCCACCGGCGAGTCCAACAGTGAAATTGTTAGTTCATATTTATGTGGGTATGTGGGGGGGGGGGGGGGGTGAACATATTTCTATATAAGGGACCTGCAACTGTAATACCACAGTACAGTAGATAGCAAATATGTAGAAAACAGAAATGCATGTTCCCATCATTGTACGTGGACGGGCGCAGCAGGCCGAAGCTATCAGCCAGAACAGGATTTACAATCGCCTAGAGATACTTGAGCTTTTCCAGTATTCTCCGTGAGCTGTCCCATTCCACAATGGTTCATGCCACCATTATTTCTGGTAGTATCCATGTGCATTATTCCAAGAACATCTCGGATTCTTCAACAATTTGTGCCACGGCAAAAGACAACGCTTGACTCGGTCACTGGGGCTGTCAAACTTCACATCACAAATGAACTTCAATTTCTCATCTGGTTCAAGTATATGTACTGCCATGACTTGACCATGCTTCATCCACAGCTGGGCGAACATTGTGGCGTTGAATTCCATAGCGCACCTTCTTGCTGCCATGCAGGAATATGTTAAGAGAAGTGAACATATTCTTACTAAAAAAACAACAGCCACTGAAGAGGATAGCATTAGCAATAGCCTTGGGTGAATTTCCTGCAGGTACACGTTGTTGGTAGGTCTACTGGTCGGTCTCCGTATCGTCAAGTTCAGAAATCACCTGTACTACACATCTTGTAGAAGGGATCCTGATCGAAAAAATTTCTGATCATAAAATTCACTAAACTGAGGGCGAGACAAATAGTCAGTACTCCCCGATTCCGTCTAGCTGCTTTGATCAAGTGATGCTAACAAGCTCCCCGTTGTTACTTCCAGCAGCTTCACTTTCCCTGCGACAGCGGCTATCAACCTTTCTGTCCATCGTCGACAATTATCACAGATTCAACATTCTACATTTGTCAGCACTGCACTGGGTGAATATGTCTCGAGACGAATTTAGCGGATCAACAACGCTTTGCTGGAGATAAATTCTCCTCTGGAGGACCTTCAGGGTACCTGGAAGGGTATAGAAGACGGGATCGCTCACGACGTTGAGAGAACATAGAAAACAACCTCCTCTTCGATTGAAAATTGGCCAAAAAGTATGTGAAATGTATGTGCGCAGATGCATTTCCACTGGCAAGCTAATCCCTCATTACGTCATCAGCGCTCGCTCGGCCGAAATTCAAAAGTCGTCTTCCTGCTCGACTCGATCGCTTCTGGAGACTCGTTCTTGTTCGAGGGGTCTTCTCTTTCACCAACCTTCGTCTTGGCATCGAAAACTCGGCGTAGAAAATGAAGCCGGAGTGCCCCTTTAATATCATAGTGTTACAGTTGTAGATAGTTGCTTCATAACTCGTTCTCATGTGTTTCTTCTCTTTTTTACATTTATTACTGGCTCAGAATACGAGTTCAAATACGACAATTTATTATTATTTTTATTTTTATTATTATGAAATGACCCAAAGGCAATGTGCCTATCGAGGGGTTTATTTGATTGAAAGAACAGTAGATGTAGATGTATGTACAAAGACAAGTAGGGATTGATGAGGAGAGAAATGGGGAAAATCAACTGCAAGGTGGCGGAATTCCGTTGATTGCATAAGCATAGTCAGCTGTAAATTTCCTGAGGGCAGCTTTGAACTTATAGAGCGAGGCTTCCGATGTTAGACTGGGGGTAAACAGTTCCATAAAATAGCAGTTCGGAACATGAAGAGAGACTTAGACAATGATTTAAATTTGGGAAGAATGATTTTATTTGGTCGTCGCTCACTATTCGTAATCTTGAAATGGAAATCAGCAAGGTAATCACGATGATGGAAAACATATCTGTGAAAAGTAGTGAGACTGATGATTTGACGACAATAGGCTAGTGACTCTAGGGAGCATTTAGAATTTAAGACAGATTTGGAAGAAGTGTAATCAAATGCAATTTTTTTCTTTTTCAGTAGAGCTCTAGCAAACCTTGCCTGTAATTGATCAAGAGTGGTCATGGGTTTCTTATTAGATCCAAACGACCACACCGTACAGCTATATTCGATCACAGGTCTTACGAACCCTTTGTACAGTATGATCATTGCCGAAGGCGTAAGTTGCTGGGACATAATTGACAGTAGGTGCACTCGATATCTGAACTTCGAAGTTATTGAGGCGACATGTTTGCGGAAATCCAGGTTGTCGGTCAAGGTGATACCAAGATGTTGCAGTTCGGAAACCACCGTTAATGGCTCATTGTACATTTGGTATTGGATTCCTGCAGTAGGTGTATCATTGATAGCTCTATGGCACAGCACGGATGTCTTGCTTGCTGAGAATTTAATTTAATTTGTTCCTGCCCCATGTTTGACATGCATCGAGATCAGACTGCATGTTCGCTCTACTGGCGAGGGTGTCTTCAGGTTTGTAAGCCAGTAGAAGGGTGACATCATCTGCAAATAGATATTGCGTGCAATGTTGCATAGCGTTGGGCAGGTCATTTATATAGAGTAGGAATAGGAGTGGTGAAAGGTGGGAACCTTGGGGCACTCCGCAGTTGATGCTCCGCTTCTTCGATTTAGTGCTATGTACCTTCACTTCAATTTGTCGATCCCCTAAGAAGCTCTTCAGCCATTTTACTGACGAAGCTGTAGCAATCTTACCGAATTTCTTTAGGAGTATAGAGTGGTCGACCCGGTCGAAAGCTTTCCTGAAATCTAGAGATATCAGGTCAAAATTAGTGCCATCATCAATATTTACAGCCATTGATTGGGTTAGCAAGATAAGTTGGTCCGTTACAGACTTGTTGCGTACATATGCGAATTGACCTTTACAAATTACACCCTGGGTCATCAAGTATCGAAGTAGACGTTCCGAGAGAATCTTTTCCATTAGTTTCGCTATGCATGGGAGAAGGGATATAGGTCTGTAATTGGTAGGCTCTTTGGCGCAACCTCTATTCTTGTACACCGGTATTACAGTGGATGATTTCCAGGAGGACGGAACACACCATCATCAAGGCTGTAGTTGAACAATACTGATAGTGATTGGGAAAGGATATCTGCGAATTGCTTTAGTATACGGTTTGTCAGGTTGATGTCTGATGATGATTTATGTTGTTGCAGCCTCTTTGCTGCATCGAAGACTTCAACAGGGCGTATGTTTCCGAATCCAAATTTGTTTCCATCGACGTCGGCTTCATTGATTGTTATACTAGTTGCTACAGTATTCGGCGGCGTTGACTGAGTGGTGCATTGGCGGGCAAAGAAGGTACACAGCGTTTCGGCCTTCGCTTGATCTGTTTTGTGAATTTCATTGCCGTTCTGCAGGTCTGGAATTGCCTTTTTATTTGTTTGGTCAATATTGCATATTGCTTTGGCACGTTTCCACCACGCATAGCCACCCTTTCTTTCCTTGCCAAGCATTGTGTATCCGAGCGTTGACAAGTATGTGTCCTTGGCGGCTCTTAATGACCGGTGGTACAGGTTGCGCGAGAGTTTGTATGCAGCTCGTAAGGAATCGTTGAGTGGCTCCTTTCGGTGGAGCACATAGAGGCGGTTAGTTCGCTGACGTTGCGTCTTAAGTTTTTTTGTGAACCATGGTTGGTTCGACTGGGTGTTTTTCCGGCGTGTGATGGTCGTTGCTGCCTGAATTGCCTGGTCCAGCAGTGCAGAGTAGGCCATGCATCTGAAACTGATGTGCACGTTGGTGCCCTGCATGCATTCGGTCAATGGTAGTGTGCTCAGTTTCTGCCTGAGGAGGTGCATGTCAA